GCACATCCACATGTGCCTGGTGCCTCCACCGCCTCCCAAGCCCTGCAAACCCAGGTGGCCTTTTAATTACATGAGCGAACAGGCCGGCGGCTCTGCCCGGCCAGACTTGGCACCGTGTGCTCACAGAGTCTGCTGGGGTGGAGCTAAGTGGTCCAGGAGGCTCCTCATGTTCTCGCCCTCCACCCCGATCTGGGCCAGCCCCAGTGTCAAGCATACCACAACCCAGCAATCACCTGTGTCCTACAGCCTGGGAGCTGGCCACCTAGACAGTGACCTGAGGCCTGGCAGCGACTGGCAGCCAGATGGTGAGGCCTAAGGCCCCAGCTGGCTGTGAAGTCTCAGGAGGGGGAGGTGCAGGGGGTTGAGAGTGGTGAGGTGGGCAGGAAGGGGTGTCTGGAGGGCTCCGTGCCCATGGTCTGCACAGTGGTGGCCGGACCCTGGGAGGCCTGTTGTTTACGTCCCGGCCAGCCTGGGTGGTTGGGCTGCCAGGATGCCAGGATCTGGGCTTTCTGGTTGTGTTGAGATCCTGTGTCCCCTGCAGGGGGTGCACAGGTGGGCACTGGATGCCACGGTGAGATCAAACAGCGACCGGAATCATCCTGAGCCTGGTGCTCAGGGGGCTGGCCCACCCCCTGCCGGCCTGTGTGCACGGCCACTCTATCCACCACCAGAGCGACAACACTCACCTGGAGGCGGATACACAAACCAGCCTCCAAGCAGGTTTAGGCTGCCACGCTGACTGGCGGAGAAAAGTCCCGGTGCCCCCCCTGCTCGACACCCTTGGCCTTTACTAAAACTAGCAGCCTTGTGTCTATGAGTCATTCCAGCGAATTCATGAGCCCAAGGATGATGTCCTAGTGATGTGTCGGGTCCAGCCTCGCCCTGGGTGTCTTAGGGCAGGGAGAGCAAATGCTGTGTGGGCAGCAGGGGTCAGGAATTATGGCCGAGTGGGGACACAGAGGGAAGATTGATCGCCACCTTCTGAGAATTGACTTAATGCTGGTTTTCAACCATGAAGCTCTCCTCTGGCTGCTGTCTCTGTCTGTCTGTCTTTGTCTCTGTCTCTGTCTCTCACTCTCATTCTCACACTCTCAGCCCCTCTGGCTCCCAGCCCTCCTCCCCAGCCCAGCCCACTCCCATTCTCTTTCTCACGCCCTGTTGGACGAGGAAGGGTAATCGATGCCTACAAGCCGAGAACTTTCTCATCCACTGAACAATCAAGTAGAACATATTGATGTTTCTGAAGCAGGTTCGTTTGCTTCCTGCTTTAAATCCTCTGGATTAATTGTTCGGTTCGACTCGAAGATGTGCCAGAAAGAAGCCCACCCCACCTTTCCTCCCCATCCCCCATCTCCAAGCCTCTTCCTGTTCATGCCTCCCACAGTCTTAGACATGACACAAGGGGCATGGGGGGAATGGGGGGTGCTTTTCTTGATTTTGTTTTAAACAGCAGCGCCAACAAAAGTAGGCTCAGGACTCCACGGCTTGCTGTTTATGGGGAGGGTGGAGGGCCAGGGGTGGCTGGCTAGAGAGAACATTGCGGGCATTGTCCTTCAAGATCAATAACTAGAGATTGGCCTTATGTCTCTAACGCCTGGGTGGGGCGCCATCAGCTAGTGCACCTGATTTAGGCAGTCACCTCTTGATGGGGGAGCGTTCAGACAGCCCCAGGCTTCTGATGCAGCGAACGGTGCCACTGCGGATCAGCTCGGATGCTAAGTGAGAGAAGCCAGACACCAGAGACGGCCTACTGCCCCCTCCTCTGATAGGAAGCCCCACCCCCCCACCCCAGGCAAGTGTATAGAGACAGAAAGTCAGGCTGGTGAGTTGCCAGGGGCTGAAGGAAGGAGCCCTGGTGGTGTAATGGTTACGCATTGGACCGCTAACCTAACCACAGGGTCGGCAGTTCAAAACCACCAGCCACTCCACGGGAGAGAGACGAGGCTTTCTCCTCCTGTAAAGAGGTGCGGTCTCAGGAAGCCTGCCCTACAGACCTGCTCAAAGGCAGTGAGATGGCTGCCGGGTGGCTATGAAAGTGTATCGACACAGAAAGTGCGAGTGGTGAGTTGCCATGCATGGTAGGAAGGAGCCCTGGTGGTGTAATGGTTACGCATTGGACCGCTAACCTAACCACAGGGTCGGCAGTTCAAAACCACCAGCCACTCCACGGGAGAG